AAACATCTTGAATCTATTCATTGATGAGTTAACATTTATTATTTAGCTGAGGGTTATTGATGTAAAATGATTTTAATTTGTAGACTATATTCATCACAGACTGGTCACAGCTAGTATATAATATAAAATCAGGTAGCATTGGACTGCACCAATCAAATTACACTTGACGGAGAAGCTTTGGAGGATGTGGAAACCTTTACATTATCTGGGCAGCATCATTGATGATCGCGGTGGATCAGATGCAGATGTGAGAGCGAGGATCGGCAAAGCAAGAGCAGCATACTTGCAACTGAAAAACATCTGGAGCTCAAAACAATTGTCAACTAACACCAAGATCAGAATTTTCAATACAAATGTCAAGACAGTTCTATTGTATGAGGTGGAAACGTGGATAACTGCGAAAGCCATCATCCAGAAGATACAGGTGTTTATTAACAGTTGTCTACGCAAGATACTTCGGATCCGATGGTCAGACACTATCAGCAACAAGTCACTGTAGGAGACAACAAACCAGATTCCAGCGGAGGAAGAAATCAGGAAGAAGCACTGGAAGTAGATCGGGCACACTTTGAGGAAATCACCCGATTGCGTCACAAGACAAGCCTTCACATGGAATCCTGAAAGTCAGAGGAGAAGAGGAAGACCAAAGAACACATTACACCGAGAAATGGAAACAGATATGAGAAGAATGAACTTGAAGGTTTCCTTATTTACCTTAAAATCTCTGTGCATGTTATAAGTAACTACATTATAACAGAAGCAAATGAAGTCAGAGTAGTTACCAGACACATCTAAGTACATAAATTAACAGTTGAATAGAATGAATGAACTATCGCTTATATATAAGTAATCTTATTTAATCAGTGTTTATGAAGATACTACTAAGAAAAAATCTCAGCATAACAATTAAAATGAATCATTCCAGTGTTCAATATTCAATTACATTAAAATAGTCATAAAAATTATTTGGTTCTTGTCACTATTTAATTCCATTCAAGCTATTCTATTACTATTGAAAATCTGGAAGCATTGGACTACCGTTTAATCCTAGTATGGAACTCGTCAGAAGTGCGCATCCATGAAACCATTCGTGGGATTGAAACTCAGGACCTTCTATCTCGCTAGCGAACATTTAACCTCTAGACCACTGATCTGGCATTCAAGCAATCTACAAGATTATGTAACCATCTTCCATTGTCAGAGATAGATACCTATCTCTACGTAACATGAATTAGCCCTATTGGTTACTGATTTTCAATAGTTTTCAATAGTGTTCTAACATCAATCGATTCATGATCTCAATCACAAAAAGTTTATAATTTCCAAAACTTCATACTGATTATTCTATTAATATTAAATATCTAAATCTGGGCCAATAGCTAAATTATTTTGTTAAACAATTGGCTATATCAAAGCAATACACATTGGATACATTTATTCTAAATTTTAATTATAAATATCATCAATCGGATAATTTACACAAGTTTTTCAATAATTCATTTGCTTTATAGTCACCAATAGTTTCTGACTTCATTGTTTCTACATCTCCATAACAATTACTTTCTAAGTTCGATCTTTCCTACTTGATCTTCTCAACCTTATGCTATCAGGTATTCTATTTCTGATTTATGTTTGTATACTACTTATATTGACATAAAATCATTATGCGAAGTATATTTTTACTGAAGACTTTCCATTCTTAACTGATAGTTTTCAACTAAGGCAGAATAGCTGTCTTGTTCATTTCGGCCAACCATAATAATCATTTGAATTTATTTTCAGTGTTTAAGTGAATAGTATTTTAACATTTTAATTCACGAGTTAATCTAAGCTAGACCACCAGTGAAAACCTGGATGTACTGAGTGTTCATTTCGTCCTAGTATGGATCTCTTCATCAGTGAGGATCCATAATCATGACTTGAATCTAGGACTTTCGGTTCTACGCTCGAATCCTTAACCTCTGGAGTACAGAGTCAGAATCCAGTTTTATTAATATCCAACTTCAATCGATTCATGAATAGTGTTAGACTTTAACATTGTTTTGAATATTAAATAATGGATAAAAATTATAGACTCTTAATTTTTGATAGATGTCGCCTGTTTAAAAATTGATGTCTATCAAACCCTTGTACTTAGGCGTTTTTCTAAAATACTTACAATCAATAGTGATTTGTATCATCAAGGCATCATCATTGTGGTTAGAATATTTTTCTTCTAATTATCTGTGTCTTAATAAAACATAAAATGATTATTCTAAAAATCCATGTATGTCAAATATGGTTGTGGTTTATGCTACTTATATTGCCAGACATTAGTAGTATGTAATATCAATTAAAAGGTGTTATACCTGTCAACAAAAGAATAAGACGATCGAATTAAAATAAGCAAAAAGGGAAATAAAAAGAAATTATGAATTGAAAGAATCATACACTATATAAAAGGTCAATTATTGGAAGATTTGCAACCGAAATATTTATTGTATGGTTCGCAATTGATGTTTAATACAATTGTTGCTATGGTCATTATTATTATTATTATTGGCTTATGAGAGCCTATGTTTGTTTGATCATTGCCAAATTCAATAACACTATTTGATGTCAGTTAGGTAAATGAGATAGCACTACAAAACTACATGGTAAACGGTTTCGCCTTGGAAACTAACAGTTTTGACTAGTATTCAAGATATTCACATGGTAACCGAACAATTATCACAAGGTCATAGAAAAATTACATATTTTACTTATCAGAGTGGGTTTTGTGGAGATTTAGTATTTTTCATAGTTTTAAAGCATGAGTCAATTGAAGCTAGACCAGTGTTTCCAGGTTTTCCATGGTGGTCTAGCTTCAATTGACTCATGCTTTAAAACTATGAAAAATATTTTACTTAATTTTGAGACTATTGAAATAATCTTAACCTATGATTTCTAAATAAAAGGGATGAATATGACATTATTCACTTAATTACATCAAAGTCATTGCCAAACGTTGATAATTAAATATTCATTCAAATCATGACCTATTAAATTCTACTAGCCGCATCCTCTGTAGCAGTGAGGCTCAATATATATATATATATATATATATATATAAGGAAAAAATCAAGATCCTTCAATACAACACATAGAACACCAATCAAATCAATCATACTGGATGGAGAAACTATAGAAGATATGAAAATCTTTCGCGTACCTGGGAAGCTTCATAGACAGTTATTAAGCATAATTAACATATGTACTAATCATTTAAGTTGATAAAATTAACCTTTACATCCATTCTAATGGAGGGTATTCAAAATTTACGTAACATAAAGTTTTTTTATAATTTAAACCGATCAAACTAACCTAGTTTTATTCTGATCTTAAAACTGGCTATATCTATTCGTTAATTATCATCTGTATCTTTTTACTTTAAAGAATAAGTCAACTGAATACTTAAAAAATAGAAACCGGATCAATGGTAAAAAAGCAGAATAGATAATGTTGAGATTAATAAATGATCTATCCTCATTCTAATACACCAAGAATAATATCAGTCGGCGAGACTAAACTACATGGACGACGTTAGAACGAATCTTAGATGACCTTGAGAAATGTTAGCCAATCAGGAGACAGTTAGTATACAGTAAAAATATATTATACAAAACTCAAGAATTAAAGGTGATACTGTTCTTTTACATGACTCAAAAACTTCTCAAGGTCAGATATAGGTTCAGACGTTCTAAACTCATAGTGAATCCGGCACAGGAACTCATCCATGTGAATCCATAGTAGTCAATATCTGGAACCATGATAAGGTCTCAAAAATTCTTTTAGCCTCGACCACATAGCTTAAATGTTGTTGGTATGTTGGTATGGTTTTGAGTTTAGGGTTAGAGTTAAGGTTTAGGGTTAGGGATGAGATTATAAAATATGGACGACATTTGAGGGACGCTAGGGTGACTCTGAGAGTGTCAACATAATAACTAAGACTAAATGAGGGTTATGAACCTGTGTGAAGAATTCAAATTATGATTTACAGTTCATGGTTAAGGTTTGGAATTATACTTAGGGTTTTCATCACGAACTGACATCAGCTAAAATGCCAAAACTCTATTCATACAAATGGATAATTGAATTTCGCACCAAAATCTTATGATCACTTCTCTTGTAGATGCTGAATCATCACGTCTTCTCTAAAATCCGTTGTAAATCGACCGTACATAAGCATCAGGTACCGAACTTAGCGCTGTGGCCTTGAAAACCCGCGAAAGCTTCTGATTGGCTCGTTCATATAGTTTAGTCTCGCCTATCAGTCTTAGTTCACCTTTTTTTGACTATCTACATCTTAGACAACTGATCATATTTCAACTATTATACTAATCATATGAGTGAAAAAAAATTATTATTCCAGTTCGACTGTATAGGACAGAAACGTGAATAACTACGAAAGCAACCATCTACAAGAATAAAAAGTGTTTATTAACAGTTGTCTATAAAGAATATTTTGAATCCATTAGGAAGAGAATAAACCATATTCCAGTGGAATTATAAATTAGGTAGAAACGCTGAAAATTGGATAGGACACATATTGAGGAAAGCAGCTAACTGAGTCACGAAGCCAGCTCTCACTTGGAATCCTCAAAACCAAATTAATAAAATGAAAACTAAAAAACAAATTACATCAAAAAATGAAAACAGATATGAGAAGAATAAACAAAAAGTAGATAGCATTAGAAAGGGAACCGTAGAACAGAGTGTGTTAGAGAATGCCAGTCGGCGGCCTATGCTCTATTTGGGGTTAACAGGCTTGAGTAGTTAAGTAATCGATATATATATATATATATATATATCATCTATAGTTGTACTAGGCAAATGAAAATACAAGCCATTCATAGTATATATCCATGCATATATATATATATATATATCTGTTCAATAATAAGTTACATATATAGATAGATAGATATACATATTTATAAAAAGAACATTTAATTAATTACATAATCATTATATCTGATTACTTTTAGTTATGATTCAATTTATTAGATGATCATGTCTGTATTATGATTTTGATTATTTTTTTTTCTTTTTGATTTGGAGCATTAACATCGATACTTTGAAGAATTTCAATAGAATCGATTTTCTTTCATCTTCTAGGAATATTCTGTATACATGTATCATTTTATGTGTGTAGATGGTGTGTTACTGTAGTAAACATTATACATTTTTTTTTTCAAAATTAAAATGAAAACATTAACATTGATAAGTTGATCCATTTTCTTTTATCTTCTTGGAATATCCGGTATTCTTTCATTGAGAAATTACTAGATACTTATATATCTGTATATATGTAGATAGCTTGTTCTTAAGTAAACTTTTCTTATATTGTAAGGGTACAGTCATAAAGTGTTTAATTTATTTCCATCTATATAATATTGAGTTTGAATTTTTGATTGAATCACTTTAATCCATACTAAACAATCATGGTTATTACAAACAGTATTCATTCAATGTATAATGGAAACTATCAATAGGATTTACTTTTAAGTAGTATATATGATTGTTCTATAAATCATTGATCGTTTTGTCAATGTATTACTATTATTATTATTATTATTAGTAGTAGTAGTAGTAGTAGTAGTAATGGTAGTAGTAGTAGTAGCAGTAATCGTAGTAGTAGTAGTAGTAGTAGTAGTAGTAGCAGTAATCGTAGTAGTAGTAGTAGTAGTATTAATGATATGAAAAATATTTTAAACAAGTAATATTTTTAAGTAGTATATAACAAGTTTGACGAAATTTTTTTGAAAATAATGAATAAAATACAAAATTTAATGCAGCATTTATAATTAATAAAACATTTGATATATTAGAATAAATTAATAGGCACTTTGTTGTATATTGTGTTGATTTTATTATACCAGCATTAATTAAATTAATTGTTATTGTTGGTACTATACTTGGTAATTGTAATAATACAAATGCTATAACTATTGTAATTAACATTAATGTTATACGTTGTTGTTCACCTAATTTATTACGTTTCATTGTTATTATAGGTAATAAATTAGTTTGATATTGTATTGGTCTAAATGATTGTGTTATACCAGATGTTATTCCTATTGTTGTTCTCATACTAGCTTCTAATGCATCACGTACAATAGCTGGTATTATTTGACTTGTTGTTGCTTCTTGATTTAATTGTACATGACTATATTTACGTTCATTATTATTATCATTATTATTATTATTAGTATGTAATAAATCGATATTTTTCGGATCATTTATCATATTGATTGATGTATTATTACTATTATTAGTATGATTATTATGTTTGATCAATATTTTACGATCTTGATTAGCTTTCATCACTGAACGTATTAATAAACTATTAAATATAATTAATAAAATCATTGGTAATATAATAAATATAATTTGATTAATATAATCATAACCAATTTTAATTAATATAATATTAATATTTGTATCTACTACTATATATTGATTATTAATCGTTACATTTTCAGTATTACTACTTACACTACTATTATGATTATCAGTAGTATTATTATATATGATTGTTTTTTTTAAATAATCTGGTAATGTTAATATAAAACAACTAATAAATATGATTATTATTATATAAATAGCCCGTTGTTTATTACAATATTTTTTACTTATAATTGGTAATGATATAACAATATAACGTTCTAATGTAAAACTAACAGTAAGCCATGTAGTTATATTACTAAATAGATTAGCAGTACCATGTATGATAGTGATACTATATGCATATATAGTAAATTGTTTAATATATGGATATAACCATAATGAAAATAAATATGTAAATAATAAATATAATAAATCACATATAGATACAGCGGTTAAATAAATATTCGTTGAAGAATTCATCCATTCTCTTGTAAGAATAATAATATTAATAATATTCGATAGAATACCAATCATACATAAGATAGGAGTTAATATTTTACCACATATTAAACGCATTATATTTAAGATATTATCTAAATATTCTATATTGATATCATTATCATGATTAGATAATGGTATAGGTATAATATAAGTAGTATTAGTTGTAGGATTAGTAGTATTGGTAGTAGTTGGAGTAGTTGTAGTAGTCGATATAGTATTCGGATGATGTTGATTAAATAAATATAGATTTGTAAAATTAGACATTATGTAAATGAATATATATATATATATATATATAAATGGGGGATACAATGGATTCAAGGTATTTCGTTTGTTGCCATGGTAATTAAATTTGTATAATAAGTCCTTTATCAATGAGAATAATAATTCGAATTCAATATATACGACGGTTAAATGATTGAATCTTTCAATTTAATGATACATTTGTGTAATATGGTACTGATATTGACATTTATAGAGGGGAGTCCTTGTTCGTTTGTTTGTTTGTTTATTTGTAGTTGTGTGTTGTTTATTTTTTTTTATTGTATCTTTAGTGATTATGTAATAATGGCATAGTAACATAAAAGGATAATGATAAGATTGAATTGAAATTTCATTTTTTATATTCATAGACTATAGTCTATGAATAAGGAACAAATCAAATGAAGTACTAACTTACAGCTTATATAGATGAATGGATATACATAGAATATATATCCAATGATGAAAATCAAAAACCTATTAGATTGTATTATTGTAGGAACATTATCAGTTAAGTTAAGCACCTATAGAAATGGAATACAAACAAACAAACAAGGAAGGAAGGAAGGGAGGAAGGAATGGGGGAAATAAACACACGCACACACGCACACACGCACACATACACACACATAAATTCAAGTACATGGGTACATCTTTTATCAGAATAAATAAATATGATCTTAAAGTGAGTGTAAAACAATTAAAAAAAGAGACATTTCATGGTGTCCACCAATGAAGTTTCATTATAATAATGTCTGTATTGTATAATATTACTAGTAGTAGTAATAGAATTAGTAAATAATAAACGTGACAGAAAATTATCAGAAAGGGTTTTGTGGAGATTTTAGTAATTTTATAGAGTTGAAATCATGAGTCAATTGAAGCTAGACTACCATGGAAAATCTAGAAGCATTAGACGGCCGTTTCGTTCTATTACGAGACTCCTCAACAGTGCGCATCCACGTTGGATACTGGCTCAGTGGTCTATCGGTTAAGTACTCTGGCGCGAGACTGGTAGGTCCTGGGTTTGAATCTCACGAGGTGGGATCGTGGATGCGGACTATCATTGAGGAGTCCCATGATAGAACGAAACGGCCATCCAGTGCTTCCAGGTTTTCAATGGTGTTTTAGCTTCAGTTGAGTAATGATCTCAACTCCATAAAACTAACAGAAAATATAAAAGTTTTTATTAAATATGTTTTTTAATAAATGAGTTAGAATTTTATTGTCGCTAAATGAATGACACTAGTAACTAGCTTTATGGTCGATTCCCTGGAAATCTGGTGAGAAGTGATGATCAGTGGAGTTCAACTGTGTCGAGTGTGAGGCAGTTATGTGGGATGATCGAGCATTATCATGAATTAGTTGAAGTGAGACATTAACACCGTTTGATTACGGGTTAGTATTATACAGGTTACGTGTTCAAGTGTTAGATCGAAGATCCTGACTTCAAGTCTCTTAGGTGCAAGAACTTGGATGTGTACTGTTGAGAAGTCCTATACTAAGACGAAACGATCGTCCAGTGTTTCCAGATTTTTAAAAGGTGTTCTTACATCAATCGATTAATGATCATAATCTAAAATTAAACAATCTTTAGAACCGCATACTGATAAAACATTTAATCACTGCAGAACGTAAAGTAGAATAATCAACAACATCGAAACAGTCATTATTCCTACCATTACAGTCTATAGGTGACATATTTATTTACTTACTTATGCCTGTTACCCCTTGTGCGGAAGCATAGGCCACCCACCAGCATTCTCCATCCAAACCTGTCCTAGGCATTTCTTTCCAGTTTTTTCCACTTAACATTCATTCTTTTCATATCTGCTACTATTTCTCGGCCTTCCTTCTTTCTGCATCCCTTCTGAATTCCAAGTTAGGGATTGCCTCGTAATGAAATTTAGTGATTTCCTCAATGTATGTCCTATACACTTGTAATGTCTTTTCCTAATATCCTCTTCAGCTGGAACCTCGTTTGTCCTCTCACAAAGAAGGTTGTTGCTGATGTTATCCGGCCAATGAGTGTTGAATAGACAACTATTTATAAATACTTTTACCTTCTTCCAATGAATGTAGGAGTTCTCCACGTTTCAACTCTGTACAGTAAGACTGTCTTGACGTTCGTATTATTGGGTGACATAGACTGAAAGAGATAACACATATGAAGTATTACATGGTATAAACATTAAACGTAGCTAGACAATGTATTTCCTTCCTTCCTTCCTTTTTATTTATTTAGTATTTCTTCTTTTAAATAAAAGTTTTCCGATTTCATTTAGCTTTAATTGTAATCGAGAAGGAAACATCTATATTCTAGTAACTAAGTCATTATCATTCACGTCATTATCTGGTTAATTGTTACTAATATCTATACAATAGTAAACTAATTAAAACATACTTTTTTTTAATTTTTCTTTTTAAATACGTGATTTTCAATGTTTACTTAATTGACTCTAGCCAAAATATTGATTGCTTAAGTATCATTCGATGGCTCATACTCCGTCACCATAAATGTATGTACACAAATCGTATTATCAGTTTACGTTTTAATTTTGCCGTATCCTTATTCAATTTGACTATAAATTGTTTATGTAATTGTTTTGCTCTCTCACTCCTGGCTGTTCATTGCTCGCTGATACTAACTCATGTGCTTGTAACATTCTGGCCTGAGTCATTTGTCAACAAATTGTATTGTTGCGACTTCTCTTTGCCTTCTGATTTTATTCATTATTAAGATTTGTATGATAACGGTTATCGAAGTGAACGATTAGCGAAGAACAGAACTGCAAAAGTTGTTGTTATTATTGTTGTTGTTAGTGTAATACACATTAAAATGAAGTCAAATTCACTTTAGAATGATTGGATTTTCATTACACTATGTAAGGAGAAATGGTGCACTTGTATGGAATAGTGATCCATTCAATTTATTACTTTACAATTGAGGTTAAATGATGAATACCATAGAGATGGTAAAGAACATTTATAGTTCAATTGGATGATTTTGATGATGATCTACGAGACGAATTGTAAGTTACATTTATGCTTCCAGGTTTTCTATGGTGGTTTAGCTTCAATTGATTTATGATTTCAACTATAAAATTACTGAATTCTCCATAAAAACACCCCTTGTGACGATATTCATATGCTTACTAGTGACTGGCTTCAAGAGATATTTCTTGAAGTTCTAGTGAGAAGCAGTTCAATTCAATTCAACAAGGTCTGTTGAGACATATCAACTCAGTGAAGACAAAGGTGGACGATTTCTCGATTTCGTGGATTATTTGAAATCAGGCATTAACGCCGTTGGACACCGGCTAAGTGGTATAACGGTTAAGCGCTCGCGTGCGAAACTGGAAGGTCCCAGGTTCGAATCTCTCGAGGCAGAATCATGGATGCACACTGTTGAGGAGTCCTACGACAGGGTGAAACGGCTGTCTAGTGCTTGCAGGTTTTCCATCGTAGTCTATCTTCAATTGACTAGTGATTTCAACTATAAAAAACTACTAAAATCCCCACAAAACCCCTTCTGATAAATTACTTATTCCTATTTCTGACGATAAATAATGAGTGATGTTATTGGTTCGGGAATCGACATCTGAATAAGGTACATTCTTTTTAATGTATATTGCCAACCACCACAGTGTCTCTGACTGGTTTCTTTTGTAACTAATACAACGAAAGGTTGTACACTTTTCACAAACTCAGTTATTCATTTATTTGTTATAATGACCTGTTAAAACGAGCAAGCGTAAACAGATAACTTTTTGAAATATCCAGATGGTAGGAGCAGATAGCTCAGATATTCAAGCAGGTCACCTTACTATCGGTCTATCAAGGAATTGTAAAACAAAGTTTCATACAGTTTCATATCATGAAAACCATCAACAATTATCAAGAATCGTATTACTTGTTTTTAAGTGTTTGTAACATTTCTCATCAACCATTTATAACCTTATTCAGACTATTGATTGCATCTATTTTTCTGTTTTTTAAATCTTAAATACCTTTGGTTTGTCCGATTACCACAATAGAGTAGTATTTCACTTCTTGTCGTTTACTTGTATCTTTCCATTGTTATTTAGGACTACAATTGATCAGTCTCTTGTTGGCATATGTGCATCCTGTGTGGACTACCTTGATATTGTCTGAAATTACAAGGTTTATATGCGAAAATGGATCTTGGCTAGCGGTAGAATCCAGGACGCGCGTTTCATTCAATTTGGGACACATCAACTGGACGTACCTGCATCCACTTAGCTACTGAGTCGTGATAGCCACCTAATTGTGCAACAGGGTGAAGTTTAAATTTACATGATGTTGTTTACTTGTATTTTCCCATTGTTATTTAGGACTGTAATTGGTCAGTCTCTTGTTGGTCTTGAGTCCCAGAGTGATTGATCAATTGCAATCCAAAATAACAATCTAAAGATGCAAGTAAAAAACAACAAATGAATATAACTTTACCCCATTGCACAAGCAGGTGGCTATCAGGACTCAGTGGCTAAGTGGATAACACGTTAGCATCTTAAAGCGAAAGGTAATGGACTCGAATCTCAGATTGAACATCAACTCTGAGATGTAGGTTTATCCAGTTGACGAGTCTTAAATGGAACAAAACGTGCATCCTAGATTCCACTGCTAGAGTACTATTTCCTTTAAGATTATCAATACATGAAATTTGATAACAGTTCTCCTTACTGATTATTTCTATTGTATATTTTAAATGTTCAACATATAAAATTTAGGTCAATTTTTACACTTCCCGGAACATTCGAAAAATAAATGAGACTTTATATAGAATAGTCTAAGTTAGTGTACTATTCATTATAATTTCTAAAGTATTTTATACTTCAATGAATTCATGTTAAATTAATCTATCAGAATTTGATTATGAAAGAATTAATAGAACTTTATAGGTTAATATAACTATAAGAATGTTAGATCTACTTCTCTCTTTGCTTGAGGTTGATTATGATATAGAAACCAACTTTGATTGG